CGTTTTAAAATGAGTGTGAATTTGTTTAATTAATTTCACTGTCTGATTTTATCCCCCTTCTTCGTCTTTTCCCTCATAAACTTTTTTTTCTTGTTATCTTTTTTGGCTATAATAAAAGCAATTAACATTTCATGTTAAAAGTGTAATGTATGAACAGTTCTACATTTTTTTAGGATTTATATATATATATATATAAAGAGAGAGAGAGAGAGAATATTCTGTCAAAAAGAAAAAGAAAAGAGAAAATTGCAACACAATTAATGTTGTTAATCAATGCATTGCCATGTCTGACTGTGGCATGTGGATACATTAATACTCCCTTCGTCCCGTTTTGTTAGTCTTGGTTTTTTTTTCACATGGATTAAGAAAGTGTAATTAATTTGGTTGGAAACATAAATTTAGATTAATAATTTCCTAAAATACCCTTACGCTAATCACGAAGAGTGCCAATTAATATCAGTTACAGCTAATGTGTTAGTATTGTAAAAACTCAATGTATTCAATGTAGTGGGTTAGTATTTAATAATAATGTATTAATAACAAGATATTTAATAAGGGTATTTTAGATAATTTGAAATATTACTACATTTCTTAATGGGAAAGTGAACTACAATTTGAGACAGACGAAAAAGGAAAACAAAACTATCAAAGTGGGACGAAGGGAGTATATCTTAATAATAATTTAATTATACATCTAAACTTAGTATATTACGTGTCTCAAGAAGAAAGCTCGAATGGGCTAATATTAACGAAGTTCATGCAACATCGCTGTCAACCAATAATACCCTGCAATAACAAACGATGACGGCCTCACCGGTGCAGGAATAATTGCGAGTCTTTCGTACGCAGAGCCAAGATTAACAAACAATTTTCCGCTAGAATTACGAGAACAGGGAACTAGGCCAAATTCTTCTTTTTCATTTTGGCCTTGGAAATACAAAAGGAGACTTTTTAAGTCATAACAGAATTTAATTTGCGAATTTCAGCAGTAACGGGAATCCAGCTGGTTTCTGTTAACCTAGTATCCATGCATGGACCAAGTTCTGTCTAGTGTTAAATATTCTTGTTCCAGCCGAACAAGAAAACCTTTAAAGCTTAATGAATGATCGGATGGCTTGTTTGATAGCCCCTTTTCTAGTTAGCTCATTTAAGACAAGACAAAGCTTGAAGAATGTTCAGGGCGCTTTACAAGAGTCAGATAGACGTTTTTATTTCTTTTTGTATTTGTTCTAGATTATCAGGAAAGATAACGAATCACAGATGAAAAAAAGTTGGCGGGGGTACATTTCTTCTGCATTGGTCTTAAACCTAGGGAAAGCTAGCACCCGATTTGAGCAGTTTAAGAAATCAACCCGTTTACTCCATTCCTTTATTCGCAGATTCCCTTTCTCTCAAGCTATACGATGTTCATTATAAAATGGATAAAGCAAGTTGATTCATATGGGTTGCTACATCGAATCCAGTTCCTTGTTGAATCTCCATGTAATACCTTCCTTTTTCTTCCACAAAAAAGACGTCTTTATAAGCCCTTTTCAACTGCATTCTTCTTGTGCCTTGTACGTAATTATAGTTGCACACCAGGCAAGGGACGAGAGAAACGAGAGCTTAGGGAGTTGACTAGCGCGAAAGCATGGATTTTCGCCTAGTGTTTAAGCTGTTCTTGGTTTGTTTATTAGGTGAAGTCTTGATGGCAGAAGGGTTGGCATGCAACTGGGGAACGCGAGCAACGCATCTCCTTCCGCCTGATATAGTGGTGAAGCTAATGAAAGACAATGGAATTGACAAGGTGAAGCTGTTTGAAGTCGTGCCTGATGTCATGAGGGCTCTCGGCAACTCAGGAATTCAGGTGATGGTAGGGATACCAAATGATATGTTGGCTTCCTTGGCAAGTAGTGTTCGAGTTGCTGAGGATTGGGTAACCCAAAATGTTTCCAGATATGTTTCCAGGAATGGCGTGGACGTAAGGTTAGTTCTTGCATTCTTTATATATCCTTGATTGGAGTTGTGAATCATGCGCATTAATTACTAAATACGAACTTAATCTTAAGCTATAGGATGTCCCCTAATTATTTAGATAACACTTGGACACAATAAATCGATGAGAATATGTTCGTTACATTATTATATTATAGGTGAATAATACTCTTTTAAAAATGTCCCGTCTATCATACATGTTTATCATATAAAGACCCTATAATAATAGATATATTATATTTCCATCTCCTAAGAATATATATATATATATATATATATATATATATATATATATATATATATATATATATAAATTTATATGTATAGTGCATGTTTTTCCTCACAAAGAGGAAGAAATATACAGGGGAAAAGAATAATCAGTAGGAATGAAGCTTTTAGCTAGAGGGTTCTCTCTCTCGCCAAGAAAGTTCCAAGAACGTGGTGAAAACGGCCATATAACATACAGAGACATGTCTTGTCTGAAAACTTGTCACTGTTTAAGTGTAAACATTTCGCATCAAAACACAGTTAAGCTAAAAATCTTAATGCCCACAAGGTGACAAGCAAAAGCAGCTGAAGAAACATATCCCTGTTTCTTTGTCTTCAGGTACGTCGCAATCGGGAATGAACCGTTTCTGAAAACCTACAAAGACATGTTCACCCATACAATATATCCAGCACTTGAAAATATCCAAGCTGCCCTGATCAAAGCAGGTTTAGGCAGACAAGTCAAGGTAACCATCCCAATCAATGCAGATGTGTACCAATCAGATAGTGGCATGCCATCAGGAGGCAACTTTCGCCCTGACATCCAGGGTTTGATGATCTCAATTGTAAAATTCTTAAGTGACAATGGAGGCCCTCTGACCATTAACATATACCCTTTCCTTAGTCTCTATGCTGACCCTCATTTTCCAGTCGACTTTGCCTTCTTTGATGGCACTGCAGCCCCTGTAGTTGATGGAGGCGTCACCTACGGCAATGTCTTTGAAGCCAATTATGACACTCTAGTTTGGAGCCTGGAGAAAAATGGCTTCCCAAATATGCCTATTATTGTTGGCGAGGTTGGATGGCCAACAGATGGCGACGTCAATGCAAACATAGAAAATGCTCGTAGATTCAATCAAGGTCTGCTCAACCGCATAAATCAAGGCAAAGGAACGCCAAAAAGGCCGAGCCCGCCTGATATTTACCTGTTTGCTCTCATTGATGAAGATGCCAAGAGCACAGAACCAGGCAACTTCGAGAGGCATTGGGGCATATTCTACTACGATGGAAGCATCAAATATCCCTTAAATTTGGCCAACAACAAGAATGTCACAGCTGCCAAGGGCGTTCAATATTTGTCGAGGCAATGGTGTGTCATGAGGCCTGATGCTGACCCTTCGGATCCCAATCTGCCACAGAGCATAAACAAGGCCTGTACCTATGCAGACTGCACGAGCCTTGGATACGGATCGTCTTGTGGGGGCCTGGATGTTAGAAACAATGCTTCTTATGCATTCAACATGTATTTTCAGACCATGAATCAGACGAAAGGGTCGTGCGACGAGTTCTCCAATTTGGCGGTGATCACTTCCATCGATCCTAGTACTCGAATTCGGGGCGCGCGCATGTCGATTTGAGATCATGATCGACGTTGGAAAAGGCGGGAAGACTCGAAAACCACTTCATCAGCCGGAAGAATGTATAATTCAATCTTTGCCTGGTCCTTTCTGCTTGGACTGCTAGCTTTTGTCAGCTAGTCTTTGTTCCCTTGATGACAGCTGATTCCTAGGCACTACGTTGATTGCAACCTACGCTGAATAGAATTTGGATATTCTTTGGCTACACTATGCTTGATTAGCGGAGTTGTTTTGTTGTTTTCCGGTTTACGTCCATACATGAATGTAACTTGTTTTTGTTCCTTCTTCCACCTTGCGGAACTGTGGAGAAGCTCTTGAAAATGCAAGTATGGAAACAGTTTCGATTGGCTTGTGACTTCCATCTTGCGTCTGTCTGTGATGCTTTTTTTTTTTTTTCCATTATTAATAGGTGGAGTATATTTTAGTTGGATACGAGTTTTTTCAAGTTCCACTCAATGATAATCTCTTATTTTAATTCCTGAAATCTCAATATTATATAGGATGATAATATCTCAATTTTAACCACAATGATAATACTTGTACCTGGAGAAGAAAAAGTATACAACGTAATTGTTTTCTGGCAAATTTGACGCTTGAGTTCAAATACATCTGTAGCACCTTCAATTAAAAAAGTTTTAGAATTTTTTTTTTTAAATATATGGTGTTCTTATGTGCACTATACTACTAAATGACAAAAAATAACTGAAAAGGTGTACAAATTAAGATGACGACCCGTTTAGTGTTTTTGATAAAATTAAATTGGAAAAGTATCTAAAAGAGATGTGATTAGTCTTGTTAATTGTTTGAAGAATTATAAAGTTAAATCGAAAAATTGTCTTAGAGCCTTGATTGCGTGAATGTAAATGATAAACAGAATACAATTATTAGGCGTCTTAAAGAGCATTTGTGCTTACGTCAACAACCTTGTTTGGATTATCAAGTGTTTAACCGGGCAATTTGGAGGAGCTAGTTACTTTCTTTTTATTATTTTTTATTCAAGACTCCAATTCTTGAGTACTTGCAAATTTCAACCACAGAACAATATTAATAATAATGTCTCTAGGGCAAGAACAAGAAAAAGGCTCTTAGAAAAAATGAAGCTGAAATCTGCCCTCTTTTCTACACATTCGTCATTTCCTCCAATAAATATTCTATTCCAAGAGAACATTCCATTCTTGAATTGCTCAGATTTCGCTAAGCTACGCGCCTTTATTCTTCCTCTCACTTTCCTAAAATTTTAGATGTAGCAATAGATCGAATAAATTAAAAAACAAAAATCCATTCATACCTATTATTATGATACATAGGCGAAGCTGTTTCTTCCGCTTAGTATCTGTGTCTATATATAGAAGAGATCATCACCACCGCCTTTACAGCCACCACCATTGCTGGCTTTATTTAATGGCCGCGGCGCCGTCCACCTTTTCCGTTGGCCGTAAGGATTTATTCCCATTTTTATCCATTCAAAATTCTTCCTTTTCCTCAGCTTCTTCAGCTATTGATTTGAATTTACATAGTAGCGGCGGGGGGTTCGGAGGAGCAAGAAGTATTTGTTTGAGGCTTAAAGGATGCGGCTCATCTGAGAATATTAATAAGAAAAATGATAAAAATGCCGGGTTTAGTAATGCTGGGGACGGCGGCGGCGGCGGTGGTGGTGGGGGGTTTTGGCTGCATAAGGCTAGGGCAATTGCGCCAAGCTTGCAGCAGCATTTGTTCCGTGAACTAGTTTCTAAGGATATTAAGTTCAGGTTGGAGAATGCTTTGACGGCCATGGTGATGACGGCGGAAGGTGTCGGAATGATAGAGGAGGCTCCGTTGAATTTCCTGAGGATCAGCATTTGCCGCCGGAGAAAATTGCAGTCGCCGTTGATGTTGACGAGGGTAAAAAACCTCTTCCCATTCAAATGAAGAAGAAAATAAAGAAGGAAAACAGTAATGGATTAGCTTCCTCAGAGTACCATGTGTTTCAATTTACAACTGTTAATCTTGACGCTGTAGGATATACAATGCAGTTTGAAACTTGGTTTAAAAAATTGATTTTTTTTTTGTTATCGCTGTTACATGTAAGTTGCTACTGTTAGTGTTTTTTTCTCGTTGTCAAAGGTTACTCCAAGGGCGGGAATGGTTGGCATTCGGATAGTTTTCATTCTGCTTTCGTCGAACGGTGTTGTTGATGTCTTCATTTTAGTTGTGATTCGTCCTACGTAATTCTAACTGGAGATTAGACTGGTTGACTCTCATGTTAAGTTTAATAATTGTTGTCGGTGGTTCAATTGCTTAGTTTTAATCTCCTGGATTTACTGGCTTAAGCAGATTTCTCGAACACTGCTGAAGACATGTCAACAAATCAATAAGTTTGTACTTTAGGTTACTGTTGTTCTCTCTGCTAATGTGGATGTTGCTTTCTCTACTGATTTTCCTTGCAGTTCTTGGCAACTTTGTATCAGCTCTCAATCGGTTTGTTGCAGATCGATACTCCTCAAATCACTCAGTTTCTGAATACCATGTTTATGAGTTTTGCAAGGTATTCATCAACTGGCATTTAATACTGCATGACATGTCTCTGAAGAAGTTGAACATCAAATGTGCCTTAATTATATGCAAAACTTTCCTGTGTTAGATGCGGCCTTGAAATTTATTAGTTCATGCTTTAGTAGATTGTAACTATGATTGACATGCTTTTTTTATTTTATCGAAAAGATTATTTTCCCTGATACACATGTCTTTTGTGAGGTATGCCCTTTAGGAAGTTAGAAGAGCCTGGTCCATGATCAAACTTGTAACTCATTTTGTTTGTTCACTGCACACATGAGCTGTAGGAATAGATCATCTCATTGGGTACATAAGCAGTCAATTTTCCTTTATCAGTGAAGCTGGTAACAATATAGATGGCCTTTTTAAATACAAGGAAAGGTTGAGTTTCCCCTCCTGGGATGGGGTATTGGAAAGAATTTACTGGTCCAGTTCTTTCCTCCATGCTTTTGGTGCTCTAACTCCGTCGCTGTTTGTTCTTTTCTTTATTTCTTCTGTTATCTACTCTTCTCTTGTCTCGTTCTTCTTCCTTTCTTGGTCGCATAATTCACAGTTTAACTATACTTCCACGCATGTGGCTTTCTTTTTGCAAATACTTTGCAAAAAATTGAAAGTTTTCTGCTCAAATACTACTAATAGTTTGGAAACAAGGCACTGAGGAACTGTCTCGAGATATGGATTGATCTATCATGAGCATTGAAATTTAATTGGCCAAGAGATGGTGGTTCTATTAGTGGAAGTTGGATTTTTTTCTGCAGTTGTGGACACAAATTGTGAAAGGATTGGTGAATGAATTGTCCATGCATGTGGCTTTTCAATGTGCAATGGTGGCTGGGTGAAACTTTTGCTGTCTCTGGCTGTGCTGGGTGCAGTGACAGACCTCTTTGCTAATCTGTTAAATATCTATTATCTATTCACAGTATTATTAAGACTGATGGTTGTTTCTATTTATTGTTGCCATGGATGGATCTGGCCTTGAATCATGATGCTTTGAACTTCAGAAATAGAGCCAGTTGGAACCATAATTTAAAGCATGGCAAATTTACCATTGGAATTGCCAAGTGTTGAAACTAAAACTTTTCCTTTAGTTTGTTTAGTATGCTTCAGTCAAAGTACGACTGAAACTGATGCTTGCTGGTGCCGACTATATCCAGTGGTAACTGTGAAATCTTTCTATGACATACTGAGATGCCAGTTGGAACTAGATTTAAGCATGCAAATTTACCATTGGAAATTGCAAGTGTTGAAACTTTTCTCTAGTTTGTTTAGTATGCTTCAGTACGACGACTGAAACTGATGCTTGCTGGAGCCGACTATATCCAGTGGTAACTGTGAAATCTTTCTATGACATACTGAATGCAACCATTTACTCCCCTGTTCTTGCTTGACCAGTTCGTTGCATTTTCCATGACACTTTATCATCTCAAGAGTACTTGAATTCGTCCCTAGTTGTTGCAGTACCGTATAAGTGAGCGAAAAGACTTGAGACCTTTTCTCCTTTGCCCCTACATTGTTTCGTGGGATGTGGGTTCTAGGCACTTGTCTTTTTATTAATTGGTGTTTGGTGGATTTGCCTTACTTTTTAATGGATCTACTGGAGCTGGAAAGATGGGAAGAGAAGGCAGCTTTTGATCAACGTTTGAATTTTTTGTTTCCAGCCTCTATTTCAGGTGGACTGTATGGCTGAAGTGTCTATTCTTGGTGTAGAAAATCTCTACCATGAGGATAAAATTTTGCATCTATCTTGCCGATACTTTAGCTATTCTTCACATTGAACACTGTTCACATTCTAAGGTGTTAGCTGATAAAATTTTGCATTATCTTGCGATACTTTAGCTTATTCTTTCGCATTGAATACTGTTCACATTCCAAGGTGTTAGCTGCCACTCCTCTTTCCTCATTTTGGCTGATCTTGTACGAGTTCTTTGCCCATAATCTTCAATTTTACGTTTACTACTACATTTGTGTGGACAAACACAAATGTCCATGTGCGTGTACATGAGAGAGTACTTAGGCCATTATGAAGCCATATGATCATGCCTGTTAAGTACTTGCAGTTAGTAGTAGAGAAACATATGTTCTCTTCTTCTCCCTGATTTATATTTGATCTGTTTTTGCAGATATGGAACTGTTCTCGGGATGAAGGTGTAGTTCGATCCTTTGTTTCTATTATTTGGTTAAAATTTAACCTATCTGTAGGTTGCATACTAAAATGATTTTAATGTGACAAGAGTTTCCTATTCTTGTGACAGCTGATACACGTGTTCATGAGTTTTTTAAGACGTCTTACTTCAGAACAGGGATTCATCCAATCCCAGGTGCTCGGCAGGCTCTTCAAAACTTGTCCAGATTTTGTGATCTGTCCATAGTTACGTATGTATTTTGTGGATCTCACATGATTTCCCCTTTCTCTTCCTCCTTTGCATATGGCAATCAATTAGTTTGACTCATATATGTAGGTCCCGGCAAATGCAATTAAAGAACACACAATTGAATGGATCGAGAATCATTATCCAGGACTTTTTCAGGAGATCCACTTTGGCAATCATTTTGCATTGGATGGAAAATCCAGACCTAAATCTGAAATTTGCCGGTATATTGTATCTTTGGCCTTAATAATCTTATGTTTCAAATTTTTTTGCCTGTCCACCAGTAAATGAGGATTTTCTAAAAATTATCAGAAAACTGCACTCCGAATTTATTGCGTTAGCATGTATACCATCTATATCTTTGTCTTGGTCAACACACTGTCAGTCAGTTCAGTTTCTTACCAGGGATTTTTGGATTATTTACTTGGAAATCTTTGAATTTTGTGGCTTATTGTTATGTTTCTGTCAGGACCTTGGGAGCAAAAGTTTTGATTGATGATAATCCAAGATATGCCATTGAGTGCGCTGAAGTTGGAATTAAGGTTCTTCTCTTTGATTATGAGAATTCTTACCCTTGGTGTAAGACAGAGTCTGTTAACCAACACCCTCTGGTCACTAAAGTTTACAATTGGCAAGAGGTGGAGCATCACTTAGTTTCGTTGGAAAAATCCTGAGATTTTTTTTTAATTTTTTTTTTTATTTCTAGGATTCCTAGTTACTCTTGGTTTATAGTAAGTATTTAATAAATTGATTCTACTGGGAAGCATCAGAGAATATCCTGAGATGGGTACTTTCCTATGTTATTGGCTTTTGGCAAAGCAGCCAACTTGATACTACTGGGGAAGTTGTGTCCTTGATGCATCAACCAAAGAAAGAGGAAGGTTAGAGGAAGACACTATGAACTGCTTCCGATAAGTGGTTTTTCCCCACTATTTGGGGATTGTAGGAGGTCAATATGGGTTTTGGCCTGTAAAATTGCCGTGGCAAGGCCCATTCAAGCATCACAGCTATTTCATTGTAGGAGGAAAACATGAAATTTAGGCATGCTTCTGTTCTTAGTAAACACTTTTGCACTTATGGTTCAAACGGTTCCAAGGATCGATTGTACGGTTTTACGCACCATGTTCAACAAGATTTTACCAATCCTTGGATTTGCAAGCCTGTAATATGTTATATACTGTCGAGTTTAGGTGCTTAACTCTCTTTTTGTGACAAAAGACATTTTAGGATCAATAGTATTTGATTGGTTTGACATTGCATTGTATCTTTTTTAAAACGTTTGTTTTGCCCGGTTTACCCCATGCTGGAATGGAATGTTGTCTTCAACGTATGGGCGACTTCATTGCATCGGTCTGCTGGAGGTGCAGGGTACTATGGATCTGTCAAAAGCAAGCGCTAAAAGTAATCAAAATATTAATCCATTCTCATTAATTGATCAAGAAACTAGACCCCTTTCTGCAGCTGCAACGCCTATTCTTCTGTCCGTAAGCATCGGAATAAGTTTTCCAGCTCTATAATAGAGTCGATGGGCTTACATAGCTCATGTCCTTTTAATAACAATTGCTGCCATGTAACAAATGCAAATGTTTTTAACTTAAGAACGATTGTTTTACTTGTTAAGGGTAATTCATGAAAACAGACCACTAACAGGCATTTTGTTTTCACAGATTCTCAGAATTAGCTAAAAAATACTATCGAGCTGTTCTAGATTGTTTAATTCTCGCCCCATTTACTTTTCCTTTTCCTTTCCCTGTATCTAGATTTTTATGACTTGAGTAAACAAATCCAAGCATCATTGACTAACCCTTGATGAATAAATAATTATGCCAAATATCGACTGTGAAGATTATTCAGATAGTAACAGCTCGTTTGCTGACAATAAAATTGACTAATTGAAGTTTAATTTAAATGTCTACAAAAATACCAATTATATCATCAATAACATGAATTAGAGACACTATTCATCTTTAAAAATAATTTTGAAAAATTTATGATCAATGTGCAGGTTCAAATTGTATGCTTGACGCTCAGGGCGGGAAGAGTGTGGAGAGGGATGGAAAGATTTAAAAAAATAAATAAAATTTATCCATCCCTCGTTCTGAATTAAGACAAATAAGAAAGGAATGACATTCGATTGAAGGGAAGGGACAGAGCTGCATCCACCTTTTCATGCTCTATTTATGCTGTGTTCATGTAATTTACAAAATAATACACTGCCCTAGCTTGCGAGTATACTGGGGACCATCTGGTTGGATGGCCTGAAAAGTGCTTATTTTCATTGAATTCAAATGCGTATCTGAAACTTGCAGCTTTACAAGAATACAAAGTTCACTGTTTGGCTACTCGATCTTCTCCAACAACTTGAAACCATAGGCCTCCAAAATCTCGAGCGCTGCAAAATAGAAAAAAACCAAAGTAACTTGCGTATCTCATTTATTGAAGGAGACGCGCACGTAATCTTGATGCTTGTCTTACTTTGTCAGATAATGCATCAAAACATGAGTATCTTCTTCCCTACCAAAGAACCTAAATAAAAGAAGAGACAAGAAGTTTACCTGGCATGTAGACTTCTGATATAATGGGCCTTACGACACCATTTACTTGGATCTTGTTTGCAAGCAAAAGCTGCAATAGTTTGATATAAGATGGATCTAGTTCGATAAATTGATCAAAACCAGATTTGCAAGACCAGAAAACTGAAGCAAGTCATTACCAGAGCTCCAACTGCTGCTGGAATCCCAACCGTAAGCGCCATTGCTGTTGTGGTATTTCCATCCTTGGTCCTCCAAATTCCAATAATGTAGCTCGATGGTTTTCCGCAGGTTGGCCATCTGGAAAATCTACTTCAACTTCGTGGTGCAACAAAACCATGTCCTACCCACCAACAACTTTATTACACGACTAGCAAGAGCAGCATATACAAAACTGTAACTCAGAGAATGCATGGCCAATTACTTGTTCTGTGCCTGAATAAACTAAAGCTTTTTCCATGAGAAGGCAGGTAATATCAAATGGACTTTGACATGATGCTGGTATTTCTGTTGACTCGTGAAATCCCAAAAACCTGTTTCAAAATGGAAATTCATAGAGCTTTAATACTTGGGGACTTTACTTCAACACAGTGCAAACCGCAATAAGAAAAGGCAAAAAGATTTAAGATATTGAAATTATTGTTCTCATTCAAAATTATTCATAATCAGTGTCATTACTAAATTTGCAAGTTACTGTCACAACCAGAAGCAAGTGGAAATATGAGGCATGTAGTTCTGGGGAGCATGTACATCCAGTTACGAAACGTGACAAGTTTCTGCCTATTCTACACATAATATCGATACCGAGTCTGTTGAAAGATTCCAAGAAAGTTGCCAAAATTTCATCAGTAACTTTGGAAATGTTTAACATCATAATGGAAAAATGTGAAAGAGAGAAGAAACAGGGTGCAATGTCCAACACAGGAAAAAAGAAGGAATAAGAACTAAAACACCAAAAGGGGACACACAGACATTTCTCGCTCCGTTCACTCAAAAAGTATCAAAAGCAAATGCGTCTATTTATTGTTTTTATAGTTCCTTTAGATGGAGCAGGAGTTGTTTCAAAATTGGGGTTCAGCTTCCTGCCCCTTGCAAAGCTTTCAACATTTCTGCTAGTCTATGAAACTCTGCTAGGCAGAACAAACCTCTATGCGTATACTTACATAATGGTCTTGGCCGTCCTGACTGCAATTTCTCCCTGGCAAATTCCAAGTGTAGTAATTCTTTCTGTAATTTCCTTCTCATTCATAGCCAACCCATCCAAATTATTATTATTTAATCTAAGAAGTTGAAGTAAAGCTTTTCTGTATGTGGGCTTTTCACCATTGTTGAGGGTACTCAAAGCTTCGGTATTGAAGAATCCAATTTTTGCAAGTGCTCCCATTACACCACTGAAACCTGCATGATATATGAATGCATTAGCTTTACATATCATCAAGCCATTAAATTTCCAAATATTGACCCATAAGGAAATAAACAAGGCACCTTTGGGCCTTGTAGATGATTTCTCAAGTATGGCGGTAATGTAACATTAATGGGCGTGTTCTGAAAAATGCTTAGTTTGTCTATTCATGTTATGACCAATTGTATCTGTTTCAACCAGTCCCTAGATGGCTTTGTTTGTGACATGCATGATTTGTTTGGCTAAATAGCTAACTTTTTTACATTTAGATAGTCCAGTTAAAATTACCCAACTGAGTTTGGCATATGCTAACCTTACAGAGAATCACTTTATTACATGTATCTTTGGAATTTTTCTCAAACATGCTCCCAACCACCTTTTTGTCATATACTCACACTTCACCATGAAGTGTTATTCTTTTCAAAATCTCTTCTAAAACCCGCAATCAAACTGGTATCTGACAGCCTGAGCAATCCAGAAAGGTAAAGTATGTCTTCTTAGAACATTTTAATAGCGTATGAAAACTGAATACAGGATATGCAAATGCAGTCTTAACACTAATAGATTACTTAACACTATCTCCTTGAAATATAATTCTCACTCTGTCAAATTATGTACATAAGCTAATCGACTCATTAATCATGTATTATAAACATTTCTAGTTATTTAAAGGGCTGAATGTTAAAAATCTCAACCTGACAACCTAAATTGCCAAGTTTTTTAACATCTTGGATATCTAGTTTTATGTGGCATTAAAAATTGTTATGCCTATTAACTAAAGTGTCAATGATAAATTTATTTATCTGAAGGGATTTATATTGCGAATTGCCTCAATCCAAAGTATGAGAAAATAATACAATGTGTAACCTAGAGATGACATAATATAAAAGCACAGAGACATATCATGCCTTCATAACGCAGGGTTCCACGGAAAACTGTTGATGCTTCATTTTCTATTCCATATAGCTCTCCATACAGTAAAGAATTGCGATTTGGAAGACATTCCAATGCAAAAGCTGGAAGATCTGCTAGCCGAATCCTTGAAGCCGAATCATAAAGGTGGTCTCCTGCATGTATGCATCAGGAATAATCAAGAATTTAAGGAAGAAAAGGTGTAATTATTCTTTTGCTAAGACAAACAAACTTTAAAGCCCCAGCTAGGAATTAACGCCTTGGACACCATATTAGGAGAAGCTAATACAAATTACTATCATTAAAACCTAGCAACAATTCCAGAACTAGTTACCATTTTACTATATCAGAAGCTACTATCTTATCTGATGGGAAACTTACATAAACAATGAGAATAAAAACTCAGAACCCACATAAAGATGAAGTCAACAGAGGATTATTCATGATAAATCATATTGGCAAGTAAAAGATTTGTGAACCCACATAAAGATGAAGTCAACAGAGGATTATTCATGACAAATCATATGGCAAGTAATAGATTTGTGATCAAAGGAAACGAACCTGAACATGGTGGTTACTTCTACATTTACTAGTCATTAAGATATTGATAACTCACCATTGACACGTACAATCTCTCCATGATATCTATAGGTGGCTGGATTGCGCCCAGCTCGAATAGCCCCTGCTGGACTCCAACTGACAGTAATATTGAAATGGTATACTTCAGTGCGTCTGTTTATCTTGACGAGGGACTAAATACAATGCACAAAAAAGGAATGAAAATGATTTCGACAGGAACTTTAAATACTCATACATAACTCATCTCTGAGACATGCAATATGACATTATAAGCAGCAGAGGGCTTGTGGGACACAGACAGAGCCTGAACATGATATATTATGCAGTCACTAAAAGTACAATGCTCACATTCTGCTGAATTGGAAGGAGAACAATATACTTCTGTACAAGCAACAGGAGACCTAAAGAAGCTAATACGTTGTTGATTGACGAGTGTACCTCTAATGCAGCAAACTTCAAGGAGCAATACCTGAATTTATAAGCTAATGGGTTGTTTGCAGCTGCTGGAGATGGAAGACCACCACAGTAAGAAGTAAAGGACCTAATCTTCCCATTTCGTTTATGTGCTTCATTAATCATCTTCATCGCCATCATGTGGTCTGCAATGAGAAAGTGTTAACCATTAATCAATTGAATGTCCAACTGAATATCAGCATTTTTTAGCACCAGGATGAAGTTTACCTATTCCAGGATCTAAGCCCATCTCACCAAGAATTGTAATACCTGCAACCTTTGCT